GACATTTGTTCCAATTATTTCGCTATGTGGACTTTGGAAATTGCGTCGAACGATCTCTTTCTTCGACGCACAATGAAAAATTTTGAAAATAAAATAAAAGTGCGAAAAAAAGTTCGATGAACAACGTATACGTTCCGTGCGAATTCCGATATTCATTTTTTTCTCTTTCTTTCTCTCTTTTTCTCTCCAATCACGTTCGACTAATGCGGCATAGTTGAAACAAAAAGGGAAAAAAGGAAGAGGGAGAGAAACGATAGATGGCTGGGAAAAGAGGAGGAATGAATAGGAAGATTCTGAGACTCTGGTAACAAATGCTTTGTACTTATCCAGATGTCGTATTAAGAAAACTCTTTTGTTTTCCGACACCGACTCGCTTGTTCGAGTTATTAGTTTTTTTTCCTCTCTGTCTCTCTCTCTTTCCCTGTCTTTTTCTCTTTTTTTCCTCGATGCACAACGGCTCGATCACGGTGCAATAGGAAGAAGAGGAATTGGTCCACTCAATTTCGAGAAAACATCGTGCACAGTGATGGGGCGAGCATCGATATTTGTTGTCTCGTGTAGGAGATGTTTGCAGTAAAATAAATTTTATTGCAAATCGAAGAGAGATGTGTTGTTTGACGTCGGTAGGAACAGATTTTATAATGAAATATCGGTTTAAAGGAAAAATTATTTTACCCGGATCATCCTGTCTGGGCAAAGAAATATTGAGAAGGGTTTAATGAATTAATGCTGAAAAATAGAGGAATTAATAAGTCTGATATATTTGAAGCTTGATATAATAGCAATATATTGGAATAACATATTGTGCATTCGATTTAATATTTCGGAAAAATATGATATAAAGAAGAAATATTTTAAACAAAATTTAATCGATATAGAATGATTTTTCGATAAAAAATAACTTAATATTTTTTTAATAGTAATAAATTTTGTAATAGCGTCTTTTTGAAACGTTTCTTTTCTTCTCAATACAATACAAATGATTTGCATTTGTTATTCTTTGCGATTCTTGTACTTTTTGAAATATTATTAAAATACAATATGAAATCTTTTCTCTTCCAATGTTTCCTTTTTTTTAATTGTCTTCTTCTTGATTGATAGAAAAGAGCTAAATTCTTTCTCGACAATCGAAATCTAATGGGATTAAAGCCCAGACAAACCCAATGAACCTTTGGGGGACGAATACGACATTCTTGGCACTTCGACGGCATTGTGATCCATCGAAGTGGTTACTTAATCTTTAACCTCTGGACGAGCAAGAGATTTGGTAAATGGCCTATTGCATTGGTGTATCGGTCATCAGGGATCATCCTTTGGCTCTGATCAAAAGTGAAGCAGAAAAGCTGCTTTCCTTCCTCTCCAGACTTTTATAAGGATCCCCCTCTATTCAACTTTAGACAGAGAGAAAATGAGAGGCGAAAGAAACGTGATTCACGTAGCTGGTGGATCGATTGCGGTTATCTGAAATACAGCCTCGTTTCGACGAGGCCATTATTCAAACAGAAAAAAAATCTAATCGACTGGGTTTCGATGTCAATTTCGCGAAACTATTTCCCCAACTTTTTCTTCGATTAAAGTAATCCGCAATTACTTTTTTAGATTAAAGAATATAAGAAAAATCGAACAGCACTTTAAACATTTCTATCAAAGATGAAAAATAAAACTTCCACGATCTATACATCGAACCTGTTAATACATCATCGATTCGTTTCCATAAAAAGAAGAAAAAAAGAATCCAAGAAGAACTACACGATCATTACAAACTTTCGATTCGTCGAGACAATATCGTCCAACTCTTCCAAAATTCCAAAGCTCGTCGAAACGAACGTTTCACCCCCCAACGGTTCCCAAGTCGAAACTCATCAAAATCCCCAAAAGTCACCGCGGATAGCCAACCAACCCTCTTCCTCCTCCTCCCCGAATTCGCAAACCGGCTCATCCCATCGAAAACAGTGACGAGCAACGCTCGTACCCGGAAAAACGTCACGCGTACGACTTGATCGTGAACGATGCGTCGTCGCGAGGTCACATTTCCGGCTCGAACACCCAGCCACCCTCACGCATATACGTATCCATATACGCGCATCCCCAGCAACCCCCAACACTTGTTGACCCTATTTCTGGCTGGTGTTGGCCGGTGTTGGACGCTTTCCTTTTTGCCCGCAAATAAACGGCACAGAGGAAACGGCACAGCGCTGCGGTCTCTATTCGACAAACGATCTCGCGGCGTGGATCGATCGATCGATCGATCGATGGACGAAAAACCGTTGGCCGCGGGGATAGGGGGTATGAGAAAAAAAATAAACGCGGCCGTGGCTCCTATGACGTCGGACATTCGTTTCCGCGCACGACAAAACGAGCAAGGTTTCTCGGCCTGTACACCCTTGCGCTCCTTTCCATTCCACGCGTTGTAATTTACTCGAGCTACCCTCTGCTCGCTTTTATCTCCCCCCATTCGCTCT